TATCACTTTATTTTGGACCTTTTTTTAAGACTTTCGTAATATAATATGTAGGATCCTAGATACTGCTTAAAGTTACTGTCACTAAATTTGTCTTGCGTATGGAATTTTATAATAAATTATTGGTGAATTATTCTACTCTTATGGTTATTATTTTGATTTAAAATAAAAATAAAAATAAATGAATTTGAATTTAGTTTTGAGTGATACTATATATTTTTATTTAAAGTGAAAATGTAATATAACGTAATTATAAAACTATTAGACCATTATTTACTTAGTTATATAGAATCGAACCGCGATAATTTATGTTAATTATTACTATTTTAAGCGATTAATATATAATAATTTTATAATTATACTAAAAAATGTACACAGTTCATATTAATTAATTCATAATTTATAGAACTCCACCGCCATTAAAACCAAAATTCTGATTTACAAAACACTTCTCAAACCCATTTGGACATACGGAYTCCAACTTTGGGGAAACGCTAAAAAGTCTAACATACTGAAAATTCAAACATTTCAAAATATCGCTCTTCGAAAAATAATGAACGCACCACCCTACGTATCTAATCACACCCTTCATACTGACACCAAACTCAAAACAATTAACGATGAAGCCAAAAAATATTATAAAAAATTCTACTCTAAACTAATTAACCACCCTAACGAACTCATAAAAAACTTATCTACTCCTTCCATACCTGGTAATCCCCCTAGACGCCTGAAGCGTAAGTGGTGTCGTGACCTCTTAAGATAAGCTTAAAAAAAAATAAAAAAAATAAAATTTATAGTATTCATTTCACTCTAATGTTTCATCAGTTTACTCTTTACTTTTTTAGATATGAGATTAAATCCAAATTGACCTCTCGTCTTATCATTAATTCAAAATTAGTGTGTTTGAGTATCCAATTTATGTAACAAAAATAATTTAACTACTAGAATTACTAGATTATTCAAAACCATTTAAAAATTATAAGTATATAGGTGTATAAATGTCACTATAAATGATACCGTGAAGTGAGTAAATTGTTTTACCTCCGCGCGTGTTAATATATTTCTGAACTTTGGATCGATGTTTTTGGTAAAACATTTGATATATACTGTAATTATCAGGCACGTAGCCAGGATTTGTTTTTTAGGGGAGTGTTTTAATTTTGTATTTAAATATAATTTGTTGGTGAAGGGAGTGAGTGTAGAACTGGTAGAAGGGTTCACACACTGTCCTCCGCTGTAATAATTAATCTTCATAATAAAAATAATGTCAAAATATATGAAATAGAAGCATATAGAACCATATTATGAAAACATGTTTTGTAGATATCTGAAGCAAATAAAAATATATTAATCATATTTTTTGCATGAAAACGGCTGATGAGGGAGTGTTGTTAGAATACCAAAAACACTCCACTGGCTGTCTGCCTATTACTATCTATCTATTTACAGTTTACACACAATAGTTTATGACAATGAGTTTTTGTTGAAATGTCAAGTTAACACAACAACTTTAATGTCAAACTTCTAAATAATCGATGGGAACCCCGTTTCTATGATCAAATCAAAATAATATTATTGTTAACAAAAATTAAAATCTAACTGTTATAATATTATTAGACAAATATATATATATTATAATTTTAACTAATATTATGTTTTCTAAAATGTTGAAATGCATTGGTTATAAAATATATTAAAATTTATTTGTATTTGACAATGTAATGTTCTTTTAATGACAACGTTAGGTAACCTGCAAGTATTTATTTGAAAATAATTATATGTATGAATAAAACAGTTTAATTATGCTTRTTATAAATCTAAAAAATTTTCATCGTCATTATTATTCAGGCAAGAATCTGATAYGCATTAAGATGTAAAAATTAAATATCATCTATTTTCGTACTTAATTATTTGTGACTTAAAGTATAGTCTTATAACTAAGTACTCCCTTACAAAAGATTCTACAAAGACTTTAGTATGAAATTCTCGTTAAAAAACATAATATTCGCGTGACCACTTAGTTTGAATCTCTTGTATTTACCATGCAAGAAAAACAAGCGACAAAGGAAGATAGTCAAGTTTTAACTCATTTAAAATGAACTATATTTTAAATATGAATTTGTGTTCATTTTGTTCTTTTGTTAAAAATAATTATTATTTATCTAGAAAGAAGATGTGACACACAGAACATTTTAAAGATAATATGATATTTTTATAAAAAAATAAAATATTTCTAGAAATTCTTAACGTTAAGATGTTATCCGTGTACACAGTATTATTAAGTTAAACAAATATAATCATTTTATTTTTTAAACTTATAAATTAAATATTTTTATTGATTTGCTTACACAAATTACTGTAAAGTTTGTAAACTTTCAATGGTAAAATGTTTAGCAATTAAATAACAGTGTACAATAAAAACTAGGACAAGACATAAACATAAGTAKGTACGATTAGCAGTGATGTGACACATAGATACGCAATGTAGGTATCAATAGTGGAACRTTATTTTTGAATCGACAATGATGACTGATATAGTTTAAAACTAAAAAATCAATCGAAAAATTTGATCACAATCGTAAACCTCAATTATGTAATCGAGACTTGAGGATCTAAGGGGAAAATGTAAGAAAGGTATTATGATTTCAAGTCCTTAAAAAATAACAATGGCATAAGCAGGGAAGATTAAAATACTGTTTACTTTTGCTACCTACTTGTAAAATATGGATCAAAATGTTTTCGTTTAATAATGTTTCTGTGAATTAATTTGTTTTTTTTTTACATCGAAATGTAATCACTAATTATAGATGTTATAAAACATTACAATTATATATATATATATATAACTGCTTGCGATAACCATAAAATTAATGTTAGTGGGAAATCACACATAATTAACACCATATTAATTGTATAATTTTAGTTCTAGAAATCACTCATTATGTATTAAATAAAAAACTAATAACCATTGCTGTTGACGTTTTTAAGTTCAATTAAAAAAAAAAAAAAAAACTATACATATTATTGTTAATTTTTCAAAATATTTTTTCCCCTTAATCAGTAACAATATTAAATGTTTCAGGTGTTTAAATATGTAATCGCAAGTACTAAGTCTTTAAGTGCTATATCTTTATTCAAATATTTTATGTGATTTTAAATCTTAGTGTTAATCAAAAATAACTGGTCTGCATTTTTATTTTTCGAAATTCAATTGATTTTCGAAATTATATCATTAAATTTAAATAAATTTTCTAAGAGAAAATAATTTTTCTATACATTACCAATACCAATATACCGTATACGAACAACTAAACAACTAATTTAAAAACTACGTTCGTTCCAAATATCAATTCTAGTCCGTAGTTTACTTCATTCATTCATTCAAAAAATAATAATAATAATACTGCATTTTAATTTATATTTAGATAAATTTGTATTCAAAGTGTAGAACTATACTATAATATAATATGCAATTTATATGTATTCATCAAAAGGAAAAAATATGTGTATTTTCTTCAAACATTTTTTTTTTTAAAGAAAAAAAACGTAAATTACTCTATTGAATTCTATAAAGAAAAAAATATGCATCTAAATGGTCATAATATTATAATGATGACGACTAAAACAGTTGGTCACGACATATTTTATCAATTATCAAAGAAGCCTGCCTAAGAAGTTCAAAAAAACTTCTAGAAATTATGTAATTGAGACACGAACAGTACCTACTTGGCATCGTAAAAAATATCGTTCTGGATTTGACATAGCCGTCCGTCCGCCAGTGTTAAGTGTTTTATTTTAATTTTATATTTTTTTTTGGTCAATTATATACCAAAAATACTGCAGACAGTCGAATTTTTGGTATATGATTATAAGTWAAAAATACGATTCAGTCAAATGTTCATATAATATGTTATCCGATAGTAATAATCTATTCAAATGAATAAAATGGGCTCTACAAGCCAGTAATATTAGGAAAATATACTCGTGTAGAAATAAATTTAAAAAGTGTTAATCTTAATAATAATTTATTTATTTAATTGTTTTATCTTAAATTATAATTACCACTCGTTTATTTGTTCCATTCCATAATGCTTATTTCTACTTTGATAATTATGTATTTTTTCCATATGTATTTATTACTATTGTATTTGTTCTATTGGGCTTCCAATCCCGTTGATAAATAAATAAATAATAATAATAACTGTGCATCACAGCCGTTTTGTATGTATACCAAGTATTACATWATAATATACAGTGGTCGCCGCTTATTGGACTCACGGTTAATTGACTCATTCGCCTATTAGACTCAAAACGGCTGCAGGTTAGGTTAGGTTCGCACATTTTATACTAACACACAGCAAAAAATTCGTCTATTCGACTCACACACCGGTTAATAGGGTCGTTTGAAAATTAWATAAACAAAAAAAATATGTATATACATTGAACAAACTTGTTATAAATAAGTCGGTACCTATTATCTATTTTATGGTTATGAAGTTGGCCGAAGAARTGATATTCCAATCAACATTGGATGGATTTTTATCAAAAAATTAATTAATTTATTTTRTTTTATTTTTAATTGCGTATAGCTAGATTTTTATTTTTATATACACCTTGAATCTCAATACACATTTTTAAGTAAATACGTTTTTAAATTTAAGCATTATTCACTCATTCGGTGAATCGACTCAAATTGTCTGGTCCCAAAGTGAGTCTAATTAGCGGTGACCACTGTATAGTTATAATTATTTAGGTGTGCGTTAAAAACCACCCTTAAATATGAAAAAAAAAATATTTATCTAAATCTTCAAATAATTTGTGCCATTTATGAATTATAAAACAAGGAAAAAATAATAAATGATATCATACTTCTATCGTGTGAGGTGGKGGAGGAGGGGGTGGGCATGCATTCGTGTCATCAAACATATTAGTCGCAGCGGAATAAAAATGTAATAACGTTATGATTTATAACACATCATTATATTATGTTGATCACTTACCGTCGCTGACATCGTCCTTGAAAATTATTTACGATTTCGCTTTGGCGCCACTACGTTTGTCGGTGTTGATCCGACGCGATGTCGTCGTCGTTGTCGTTACGTTAAATTCGCACGATGGTACGCGAGCGGACYGGCAAAAGTCGCGATATGTTCGACGACTGACGCCTAAGAGGGCCGACAGACATTTAAACGGTTTTCGTCTCACTCCACGCGCGCGTATAGGTTACCCTCCGCCCCGCGACTCGAATACTTGCGCAAAAAACGCCGTCGACGCGACTCACGCAAAGGTCCGCTCGAGCGTTTGAGCGGCGTTCGCCTGCAACGGGGCCCCGAACGGCGATAAATTCATTTCGTGAATGACCTGGTGCAGCGGTCACTTATATTGTTGTATATTAATAATATTTTGATTCAATTTTATTCCACTTGTATATGCTATATAGGTATATAAACGCACGGCGAGCGAAAAAAAACCACACCGTCGCGGTGACAGCTGTCGCAGACGATCTGCCGCCTAACCCACCCACCCACACACACACACCGTGTGTCCGCGATAACGGAGTGCGCGGGAAATTTGAGACGTCGCGCACGCACAAAATACAAGAGGTAAAAAATTGTAAGTATAATAGGAATATTGTAATGACGTATGACCCGAGGGTCGAGTCTCTCGTGTGCCGCAGCAAACATAATATTCAAAAAACCATATGTATCGAATACTGAGAGTAATACATATAAGCAGGGGCAGACTGACTATATAGGTTAGGGTGATCCCCACTGGGGGTTGTGAAAATTTGGGCTGCCAGAATTYGTTATTGGCCGATCACCAGAAATAATGAGTATATTTCATAGGATAAAATAATGTGATTATTATTATCCTTTAATGAAAGTATGTAGGTATTGATGTTTTTAATAATGGCTGTATTCTGTAGCTACAAGTAATACAAATAAAAATGAAAAATTACCAAACAAAACGTGAAACAATAATTTTTTGATTTTATTATCAAAAATGGGACGAATTTTCTGTTTCCCTGGGGTCAAATTTTATTTCCAGTCCGTCCCTGTAGGTAGATAAGCAACTAAGCAATATAGAATGTACCCCGCATTATTGAGGACACGCGGTATACATGGTATAAACCACCCGTAAGTCAAGTCCCCACGGCAGCCGATGGCATACTACTGCACGAAAAGCACAGTTAAATCGACACGCGACTTGGAACATTATAAACCACATTTCCACCGCGGGTTGCGATGAAAAACATATATTTTGGTAACCGTGCAGGTAGTTGTACTCGATTAGCTTAGGTACCACACGCTTCGACTTCGTATGGTAAGTACTTTGATGGCCGATAGAGCCGATTGTTTTAACCAGCCTTTATTCTTAACTACCCCCAAGCATTTAACAAGGTACTTAGATAAAAGTTTAATTAACGATATTGTACCTATCGTCGGTGTAAATGGTGATGGGCACTATAATAATAATAGGCCATGGGCCGTATCCAGGAAGTACAAACGTTTTCAAAAAAACAATCAGCTCCTTATCAGTAAAACGAAAACCAAACATTTCTTTAATGAAACAATTAATGTTATTCATACAAGTTGAATATGTTATTAACATGCAGAATTTGATAGGCCACAAAGACTCGTTGCCAGCGGTTCCCAAACTGTGCACCGCGAGCACTTTCTAAACAGTGGCACCGCGATATACGGCTCGTGATAAATAATTCAAAATGTGTAGATTTTTCTCTTACAGACATTCGTTATTGATTAGTTTTTTCTTTTTTTTTGTCCTGTCTTTCGTGGTAATAATTCACAGCAGCTAGTACACCGAGGCTATATATTTAGTCCAAAAAAGAGTACCGTGAAAAAAAAAAGGTTTGTGAACCACTGGTATAGACCATCCGACATTTTAAAAGCCGATTATAAATTGTCTAACTGATAGTGCACTACGATGGCAACCCTTATAACCGCAGTATAATATGCGTATAGCTATATTGATACAGATACAATTTATTTATGTAGGGTGTGTGTGACCGCACATCACCCTGCACCCCTTACCGTCTATGTTTGCATGATGATTGAGAGCAGTATTATTAAAATGTTACACTTCCATTGACAGCGTTGTTAGTGTCATGATTTACGAAAGTGGTAATTTAAACGTCCACCGATCCATAAATCTGAACGATACTTATCGTGTTGTTAATAATAATAATTACGACCAATTGATAAACGTTGTAATAAATGTATCACCGGGTTTTATATTCTCGCTCAACTACGGTTATTCGACGTTACCAACGCTGTTACCACTCCGAACAATAATCGTTATGTGAACTGACTTAGAATTGGCCACACGAGAGTTACTCATGGCTACCTAATGGAAAAGACCGAACTTCCTGAATGCCGCTCTTGCAATTCTTTCATTACAGTCAAACACATAATAATCCACTGCCAAATCTTCGCGGAGGCCAGAAAAGAATGTGAAATATCAGACAATCTGTACGAAGCTATAGGACCCTATGCTGACATACAAAAAATAATCACATTTAAAAAAAAAATTGAGATGTACCTACAATACTTAATTTAACTTAATTTTTTTTTTTAAACACMATTGTAAAAACTCCTCATGTGCATAACTATGTAGTCTAATTGTAAGCTAACGACATTGATGTTGATGCTGTAATTGTAGTAAATAAAAAAAATAAATAAATAATAATAGTAACAACAACGATGACGATGATAATCATAACAATACGTTTATTAAAGTTGTACCTCATCATTTTATAGCCATCGGCCATCATGTTATTTACGACCATACTTTACAGTAGAAATCGCACAGTGTAAGACATTAAACTCGAACTCTTACCGTACGTCCATAAAATTTATCGGAGATTGCGATGATTCGAATTTTCGGAGATTTTTATACGTATATTACAATTATATACAGTATATCATTAAACAATGATTATAAACCGGAGTGGTAGCTCAATTGTATTGGAATCTTCTGGGGACCTGTTAATCTTACCGAACTTTGTTAGTTTCACCATGTTTATACGTGCACGTCGTATATATTATAATGGTTTTGGAAGTTTTAAATTCACTGTAAATTGATCGAACGACTTCGGATTCCTTAATAGAAGTTTTAATATTTCTCCCGTTGGCCATAATATTATATTACATCGACTTGTCCACTCACCTGTTTTAATTTGATGACGGTTTTCCCGTTTTCTTGTATTTATTTTTAATATGGCGATTGGAAATGCGGAATAAATCGTGAATTTTATTATTATTTTGTTGTTCGTATGCGTATAGAATATAATTTAGAGAATTAAAATCTGAAGTGGTGATCAAGTTTCATTCGTGACACACGTGCAAATAAATAGTGTCGACAACTCATCGGTGTCACCTCGGAACAAATACCTACACATTGTGAACTACCTGCAGAGAACATCAGTCATAATAATAATATTTTATTTAGTGACACTTAGTTTATTATAATTTTTTAGTTTGTAAGGTTGAACAGGAGACCGACTATGACGTGAATATATAATCTACGACTTTACTCCGGCGGTAACTTACTATCGCCCGAATCTCATCTCAAACTGTATTGATATAAAATAATAATTTTGATTATTTCAGCAATGATGACAGTGGTGACAACCAAAGAGATAAATAAATGATTGTCTATTGTTTGTCATGTGTCTATCTGTGTAGTAGGTGGGATGAGCCGAAGAATACAAAAAATCTGTTTTCATTACATTGTTTTTACAAGAACTATTAAATATCATAATATAAACTATGATAATATATTATATTAATTACAATTTATTAACAAAGTACTATGCTGTAAAGGGGGAGCGATGGTCGAGGGCGTGAACCTGAAGTGGTACCCCCTTTGGTGCGCCACCATGGGGTGAGGTTTCCGCTATACAAAAATAGGTTCGTCTCAAAATATTCACGAATAAATACACAAAACCACCCATATAAAATATTTTAATTTTTCTTGTGCTTTAATTTAAATATTATGTATTATGTACTTTATTTAAATTTATTTTATGATTTCCGTTCTACAATATGTTTAATATATAAACTAAATTAATTGACATTTATTTGTGTGCGTTTTATTAAATTATAGGTTGGTAAAAAAAATATTTAAAAAAATTTTACTATAAATTAATAACAATAAGTATGATGAAGTAATAACTGTATTCGTACTGGATAAAATGGGGGTGAACATAATATGATTGACGCATCACGTTGTATAACATTATTTATATTTGTTCGTTGGCAGAAACCACTCGATTAGCATTCTCATTATGAGATGATCATGCCGTTCGTCGGGAGTATTAATTTTTAATCACAATATTTTTATATATTACAATCAGTTTTTGATAATATGGTAACAAATTAGAAGGAGGATTCAAAGGTGAAAATAAAATTGCATTCCTGAATAGGTAAATAAATATCTTCATTGATTATTATATAATTAGAAGGGATACTAAATATGTTTTAAAAATAAGTGGGAGACTCCATTCCTCCCTCACCCCCTCTCCTTGCGAGCACTGAGTTTAAGAAATATAAATATAAATATAATTACCCAAACAAATAAGTTTCTCCGATTTGTTTTATAAATTACACATTTTTTTTAAATAACTCATTTACCCTGACCGTTTTTGTTTGTACAATATTAATTTTTCGCTTAATTACGTCAAAGGTAAATGTATATAGTTCAGTACAGAGCGAAATGTCTACGTTTGTTGTGAAGTAGTCATTGAAATTAATCCTGCAATAATTAAAAATATTAATTATTACATTGTATAAAATGAATAAAATCTGTAGGTATATTACTTTCACGATGATACTTAATTATGTCATATAATTACGTACCTACCTATTATTAACAGAATGTTTATTATTATTAATTTCATCATTTTATAATTTAAATTCATTTAATTTAAAAAATTAAAATATAATATGATATGCACATTCAAGTGTAAATAACTACTATAATAACTAAATAAAATATAGCTTTTGGCGATTGTTTAAAAGTTGAGATTTCCAGCCATTTGATATACGTGTATCATGATGATACTAAACATTAAATGTCAGGTGTGTTCAGAATATATTTTGAAGTTTATTGACTGGAAAACTCAAATTTTACAAGAGCTGAACGCTTTGGTATTCCTCCAGATTTGTAAAAAACT